CCCGCCACGACTCATCGCGCGCCTCCTCCATCAGTTCCTGCAGCACTGAAGGAGTGGTGAGTGTGCGGCGGCGGCACAACTGCCCAACGGCGTGCGCCGAGAGGCCGTACTGCAGCGCGGCGATCTGCAGCAGCCGCGTGGTGCACCACAGCACCTCCGCCGCCGCATCGATGCCCGCCTCATCGAGGGCGTCTTGCGTCGCCAGCGCCCGTCGCACGAGTGCGGCGTCGGCCTCCGCGTCAAGGCGTGCAATGTACTCGAGCGATGCGGCGGAGAAGGCGACCTTGGCCTGCGGCCAGCACAGCCACTCGAACTCCGGGTCGGCGAAACCCGATGGGCATATGTAACTGTGGTCAATGGGGATGAGGTGAGGCTTGTTTGAGCTACTGCCTCTGCTCCTGCTCCTGCTGCTGCTGCGAGGGCAGTACGATGTGGCGTGGTGGTAAACCAGTACGTTGCCGCCGTGGCGGTCATTGTTGAGTGTGCGTATATCGAATATGGCGATGCGATGCACTTCATCCACGTCGAAGGAGCCCGGCAGCACGTCCGCTGCCTCCACACAGCCCGGCACGAAGTACTGCAGGCTTCCGATGGGCGCGTCATTGGCGTCCTCCTCCGCATCGTTGTTGGTGATGCTGCTTTCGTCGCAGTCGGTGGTGTCGAACCACGCCGCTTCTCCCGCTCCTGACGACGTAGCACGCACCTCGAGTGTCGGCATCACCCCCGCACTGCCACCGTGGTCGAGCAGGTACGCAAGCACTTCCCGCCTGCTACCAGTGCCGGGCGTGAACTCACCAACGCGCTCGCTCTCGCAGTTGCCGTGCGGGTTACGCTTCTGGCCAATCTCCTCTGCGCGTGGTTTGAACACCGCTACGATGGGGCCTGTGGCGCCTACAGTCTCGCCTGATATCGTCTGTGGCAGCAGCACCATATACGTCCCGCCCGCGCTGCTCTTGTGGAGGCGGAGGAGTGCGGGCTTATGCAGGACCTCCTGCAGCNCAGCACCATATACGTCCCGCCCGCGCTGCTCTTGTGGAGGCGGAGGAGTGCGGGCTTATGCAGGACCTCCTGCAGCGCCGCAACGGGGCAAACAGCCGCATCTGGATGCAGGCCACCGCATCTGTTTGGGACGCCACTGACGTCGCCGCTTTTGGTGTTGATCATGTTGCTGTCGCAGCAGCGCCAGCGTGTCCTGGCCTCATTCTTCCGCAGCCACGCATTCACACCGCGCCGCAACGGCCAGAAAGTGGTGTACGTGGTCGTATTCTCCCCCCGTGGCGCCCACGTGCAGTCCTCGCATTCTGTGCAGCCGCAGACGCGTCTCCTTCGATGCACGCCTTGGTGGGCCGGCGGCCACTCCAGCGCTGTCAGCTCCGTGAGGGCGCCGCTGGAGCAGGCGCTCCAGTCGCTGTTGGCCGTCGTGCCGCAGCCAGCGCGGCCGGCGGCACCAGCAGCAGCCCAGTCGCCCGTCCTGCACCACTCCCGCGAAACGCCAATGGGTGTCAGGCTTCTCCGCTCACTCCCCGATAACGTTGCTGCTGCTGCTGCTGCTGGGGGGGAGAATGAGGCCGGCCGACCAGTGTCGGAACCGGGCGCGCCGCCCACAGCCACCATCGTGCCCGGTGCGTCCACCGCAACAGTTCCCCACGCCCAGCCCGCCTCCGCCACTGCTGCTGCTTCGGGTGGTGGTATGACTTCTGATGTTTCCTCGGGCTTTCTTTTTCGCCTGCTCTCCGCCCCTCCCTCGCACAGCGGCGGGGGGGATGGATAAACTTCGCCCTGTGTCGCTCTCTCTCGCCCGTGGGCAAGCAACCAGAACGGCACACACACACACACACCGCAGGAGAGGAATTCAGCCCGCGGTCACGGAAAAGGCGAAAACCGAGCCAAAAACAAAAAGAAGAATGCAAAACAAAAATAAAATAAAATGTTGTAATGTGTGTGTCGTTGTTTTCTTTTTTTTTTTTTGG